AAAAAAAAAAAAAAAAAATTAGAATGGAGTTTATTAAAACTCAACTCCTTATAACACAATGTTGAGTGCCAAAAATTTACCCTGGAGAGGGTCTCCGATTTTCTTCCAATCCTCTTCTCTTCAGCTTCCCTCTTTCCCCACCTCCTGGGCCCTTCCTTCCTATGGGAAGGGCTGCAGGAGTAAAATTAAACAGTAACAGCAGCAGCAACAACAAAGACTAAAGGCCAAATGTAGAGCAGGACTAGGCATTAGCTCATGGCTGAGAAAATGTCACCGAAAAGGTGAAAGCAGAGAAGGCAAAACATCTACATTTCTGTTATAGACGTTTCCCCATCATTTATATAGATAGATATAGACGTATCACCTTCAATCTGTAAAGATTAATAAAACTGGCAGAATTTATCTCTGAAATAGGTGAAATTCACTTTTTTCTTTCTCCAATTGATTTAGAGTGTCGAGTCAAGGATCCGAAGGAAATAAGGCAGTGCCAAAAGGTTAAGTACAGTTTGTGATAATTACTAAGTCGGTTAAGGAAACCAGTAAGTACCAACCACTTAGGGGATAGATTTTAAGGTTCTGTGCTTTTAAAGGAAAAACAGAGAAACATAATAGTGATTTCCAGCTCAACTCTTAAGGAACAGCATCTGCTGAATTTCTCCTGGAGATAAATTTTATATCAGTTTACTTTGGTTTTGAAAAGCGAAGTGGCTGATCAGGGCCACTCTCTGAGAAGCTGGACAGCAGGACGACAGGAGCTATAGCTTTGGTCATGCCGATTCGGTGGCAAGGGAGACCCTGCATTGATCTAACAAAAGGACAATGGTCTCAGAGTTTTGGTTCTTCACAGCTGAACCGTGATGGAGGGGAATGATTTCAGTGGAAACAAAGTCAGCCAGAGAACAGAGTCAAATGGCAAGCAGCCACAAGCAGGTATCCTACGAGACAGCTGAAATATAAGGTTAAATTTAAAAAGAGGAGTTTTGTGCCCCCACCAGAGGCCCAGCCTACGATTTGGCCCAGGAAGAATCAAGAATTATGGAAAGTCCTACTTTGGTTCCGAATAGCCCAACTGAAGCATCCTGGTAGATTTGGCAGCTTCTAGCTTTAAAATAGGCATAGCAATAACGACTATAGAGCAATAATTATGAAGGATTATCTACATTATCTATTATTTCTACAACTTCCCTTTATACCAGGAATGATATAGTAATCAATTAGCGTTCCACAGGATCATTCTCCAGACCCCAGCAAGTTCCACTGGAGTTAACCAAACCCAAAAGGGGCTTTATCTGCTACAAGGCAACAGTAAGTGTAGTTTAGAAGTGAGAAAGTCCTCCCTTACTCAGACTCCAAGGATGGCCCATTGTATCTGGCCTCTCCTACCAAACTCCTCACCCCAGGACCACCAAATCACGGCAGTGATGTTTCTATTATTCAACTTTATGTCTTACCTGTGAAGTCCACCTGTATTTTGTCATCTAGACACTTGGAAATTTTTTTGTATGAGAAACTCCCAAATCGTGCCCCTGTCTCTCCATTATTGATATTGAACATTTCCTCAAATCCCTATTCCTGCTTGGGTGCAACCATGTAGGCCTTTGGAAAGTCTTATGAGTACAACTAATTTGTTTTAACCTGCTTGTCTATTCTCTTATTTTGTCTATCGGGACCATAGATCTTTTTCCTTTCTCTCACTTGTCCCATCCGTACCCACCACTCTTACCTAATTCTAAATCATTCCTACCAAAATCATACTTGCTTCTTGTTGCATGTTATAGAACAAATAACTAGTTAAAGACGAGCAGGTGGTAAGAAGGATGGGAAGAGATTCTTCTATGAATTTGGGGTGTATCTAATTCACCTAATCTTCACACAGTTTTTTGTATGTCATTTGCTACTGAAACACAGCAGAAGCTGTATCCAATGTCTCAATGATGGTCTTATTTAGATTTTTTCTATTTCAGAGGATGAGCATAAGCCCCCATTGTTTATAAGAAGAAACAAGATGAAAATACCTGTTTCGGACTATTTCAGCAAACCAAAGTCTCCTCCTAGGCCTAATTCCCTGGGTTGTGTATCAGCAAAGCCAATGTCAGCAAGGAGTATACAGCAAGGATACAATCTCTGTCCCCAAAGAGCATTTTATCCTTCAACATACCAAAGGTAGAAAGTCTAGACTGGGCTAATTCTTTCATTAACATGGCCTTCACATTTACAACATCGAATTATTTTTTAAAAGGATATTTTTGGTATCGAGGAATCAAGCGGTCCTCCTTATGGTGATATATGTAAATGTCAAAACATCTGTATATAATGCTACGAATAAATAATGGAGATGATTTTTCTACTTGTGGTTAATTTTAATACCATGTGTAAAAAATAATGTTTATTTATAGACTACATTTCCAGTCTTGCACTATTCGTATTAGTACGTAAGTATAAGGCCCTGATACTAGAAAAATCATCCATAATCAGAATTAGGCAGTTACAGTGTCCACCTGCCCTGAACTCTGTTAGAGGAAAAAAGAAAAAACAGCCACCAAAATACTGAGAATTTTAACATGTGAACTGATAATTTTCAATCTACAGGTTTCAGCGTTGTTGAACCACTATGGAAAAAATGCTCACTTCCCTCCCCAAAAAAGAAAAGATATAAAAATTATTTCTAACTCGTGAGGGAGAAAAGAGCCAGTTTCCACTCAATGTTAATGGTAGATACTAACAAATTACCTAATATTTTTGTATTTTAAAAATAAACCACCCAGGCCATTGCCATCTTTTTTTTAGTGTGTGGCTGGATTCTAGCTACCAATTAGCCAATCTTTTATTTAGAATGTTTGCATCAATATTCAAAAGAGATGCTATAAAAAAATTCATGTGTGTGTGCATGCATATGTATGTGTGTACATGGAATCTTAATGATAACATATCATGCTTATTATGTGTCAAGAATCATTCTAAACACTTTAGATATAGTACCTTGTTTAATTTTTACAAAAATATTTGAGGTAGCTACTATTATTATTCCATTTTTAAAATAAGAAAACTGAGTCACAGAGAATCGAACTCTTTGTGATGGGATAAGTTGTAACAAATGCCATCAAATTCAGATACAAAATTTCTCACTTAAGAGTCCGAAGTGTGTGTTCTTACTCAGTGGGTGACTTTGCTTTACTTGGTGACTTAGGGGCACAGGATCCTTCCATCTTGTGGCTCAACCATCATCTATGGCTTCATTGTCAACTCTATCCAGCCGGCAAAAGAGGATGATGAGAGTGGAAGAAAGCATTAGTTTTCTCTTGCTGCTGTAATTACTACAAACTTAGTGACTTAAGGCAGCACAAATTTATTCTCTTACAATTCTGGAGGCAGAGGTCCAAAATAGGTCTCGCTGGGCTAAAATCAAGGTTGTTGGCAGGGCTGCGTTCCTTTTGGAGGCTCCAGGGAAGAATCTATTTCCTTACCTTTTCCATTTTATGGAAGCTACTCATTCTCCTAGGTTCACGGCTCTTCAAAGGCAGCAGTGGCCAGTTGAGTTTTCGCTCTGACACTGACTTTTCTGCCTCCTTCTTCCACTTTTATTTTTATTTTTTTTGACACAGTCTCACTCCGCTGCCCAAGCTAGAGTGCCATGGTGTTAGCCTAGCTCACAGCAACCTCAAACTCCTGGGCTCAAGCGATCCTCCTGCCTCAGTCTTCCGAGTAGCTGGGACTACAGGCATGCACCACCTTGCCTGGCTAATTTTTTCTATATATTTTTAGTTATCC